CTCAGGAGTTGTGCAGAGCCAGAAGGTCCTCCCCGAGCCTCCTTTTCTCCAGACTCAGCTCCCTCAGCTGCTCCTTGTTCTCCATCCCCTTCACCAGATCTAATCCATTTTGTGGACACACCCCAGTTCCTCAATGTCCTTTTTGTCATGAGGGTCCCACAAATCACCTGAGGATTTGAGGTTTGGCCATAGCAGGATTTGAGGTTTGGCCATAGCAGTGCCCAGAACAGGGGGACAATCGGTGCCCTGGTTCCACTGGCCACACTATGGCTGCTGGCCACAGAAGGCTGCCCTTGACCTTCTTGCACACCTGGACATGTGCTGGCTTATATACAGCGGCAGTGGTGATTTCCCTCTCCTCTCCAAAGCAGCAGTACAGTAATTCTTTATTTTACAAGCCAAGGTGTAGCAGAAGATAAACACAAAGCAAGGGGGAAGCAGGTCTTCTCCAGGATGCAGAAGAATCTGAAGCAGAGAATAAAGCTTTGAGGAATCAGTCACAAGGAATTATTTCATTTCAATACCCCAGTCCAGGATGCAAGAAAGAAGAGAAACCAGGGAGCCTGGTCATCATTCCTGGTCTCCAGCTCTCTGCTGACACTTCTGAGGCAGGACTCAGCAGCAGAGAGTGTCTGCACCTCCCGTGCCTCCTCTGCCCTGTGTGAGCAGCGCACAGCAGCTCTGGCAGGGAACCTTCGCTGCAGAGGGCTTGCGTGTTTTGGCTTTGCACCTTAATGCAATGATGCTTTGGGTCCCCAGGACACTCCTCTGCCGAGGGAGGAGCAGCTGCCGCATCTCCTACTGTTTCCAGCAGCTGAGGAATTGCCATGGAACAACTTCAGCACAGACCTTTTAGCTGGAGCTTGCTGTTCCTTCTGCAGTCCTCTCCCGTGCCAAGGTGTCTCACCTGCCGTTCTGGCAGCCGGTGAGCCCTCAGGTGGGAGCTGCCGGCCAAGTGACCCCTCAGGTGGGAGCTGCTGGCCGGGGAGCCTCGGGGAGCCTTGCCCGGCCATCCCTCGGGCTCGCGGTGAATCCGCCGCCCTCGGAGCAGCAGCGCTGGAGGCGCTCGCAGCGCTCCGCGGTACAAGGGGGACACCGGGCGGGCGCTGCCGGCACACGGCGGCTGCTGCCGCTCCTGGGATTTCCCGTCCTCTGGCGAAAGGATGGGAAAAGTCACTGATCTTCCACTTACCACGGAAAGCACCGCTCCTTTGGAGAAGTAGAAGTACTGCACGCAGAAGAATTATTATACCTGGGAGCACTCTTGTTAGGCATTTTTAAAAACAGTTCAATATTACAGCCACACAAACAGAGCAGATATTAGAGGGAGAGTTCAAATCCCCTAAAATTTCTGTGAAATAATTAGGATCAGAACTTAATTTCATCTACAGATGACTCACTCTTCCTGTAAGTTCTACTCTGCTGAATTGTCAGGAATGGAATCATCTCCACCGTTGCTGATGCAGTGTAGTGAAGAACCATCTCCTGATGGCAGCACATTTGCAGTCCAGAGCTGAGAATGCACAAGATGAGAACCAGTGAGGTCTGGGCTGAAATCCCTGCCCGGGGAAGGGCAGCAGCAGTGAGCCAGCCCTTGCCTTTTCAGGGGAGTGCGAGGGCTGCAATGGCAAAGGCAGTTTTCCGTGCCTTGGCACTCAGCATCGCTGCAGCACTTGGGAGTGAGTGCCAGCTGGGAATTCTGAGTGTTGGCCTTTGATCCTTGGCATGAGAGCTGCTTTTAAATTTTTTCCCCCTCCATGTTCATTCACACTGGCTTTTGCAAACATTTGTCTATATATTGACTTTTATTTGCAGGAGCATTTAAGAGTCTGGCTGTGATTAAGACCCTAAATTTTAGGAGAGCAAACAGTTTTTTAAGGAAGTGTCCACATAGGATTCCCTGGAAACTGTCCTCAAGGATAATGAAGCTGAACAGAGCTGGCATCCATTTAAAGCCATTTTTCTTAAAGAGTAAGTACAGCCAAAACCTGTTCCCCGAGACCTGGGAAACAAAAGCTAAGTCATGACCACCAAACAGTTGTTTTACACTAATTAATTTTAGTTATCATGTTGCATGAGGGCTTTAGTCTTCTCCAGAATTTCAGCTTGGTCTCAATGCATTGATCTTGGTTTGCACAGACAACAGCAGACAGTATTTACTAACATGCCAACACCTCCTTCTGTAGCCAGCAACTAGTCTCAAGCTGGGCACTAGTGAGCAGCAGTCTGTGATACTGAGCCACTTACTGTGAAATGCTTGCATAGCAAGCACTGCATAGCAGTGGTAGTTCCATTTGCTATATTTTCCAAAAGATTGGTTGTCCCTTTCTCCAGCTAACAGATCCATAGCTGTGGAATGGGGATCCTCTTTCTGCTCAAGGGTTAATTGATGTGACAACTCCAGGAATGTTTTCCTTGGCACAGCTCCCACACAGCCAATACTGATTAGGGCAATTAGCCCATTCTGTGGTGCTGAGCTCATGGCACCAGTGGTGCTGCTCAGCCCAGCTGTCAATACTGGCATGGCAGGTCTGCATGGTGCAGGATGGACCCCACTGCATGGCTTGCAGTTCACAGCCTGAAAAAATCCATTTGGATTTAGAATTCTCTTCACCAAGATGGCAATGGATAGTTGGTGCTTGAGACATGAACCTAAAACTGGCAGAAGTTTTATGTGTGTGTCCCCACAATTCCACCAATTCCATCATTCCCACTCAGCAAACCTCTTGGTGCCCAGATACAGGATGCTGAGTACAAATCAAAGAATTTGTTCCCTTTGAACATTCATTAGTATCTAAGATGTATGAATTAACAAATTTAGAAGAGTAGCCAGGGCATATTTGGGGTGGCCTAATGGTGGCCTTCCTGTTTCTGAAGGGAGCATATGAGAAAGAAAGATGGAGAATGACTGTTTCCAAGGGTCTGGGGTGTCAAGACAAAGGGGGATGTCTTCCCACTCCCAGAGGGCAGGGTTAGATGGGGACAAACTATCCCATGTGAGGGTGGTGAGGCCCTGGCACAGGTTTCCTGGAGAAGCTGTCCTGGAGATGGCTGCCCCATCCCTGGAAGTGTTCAAGGCCAGACTGGACAGGGCTTGGAGCAAACTGGTCTAGAGGAATGTGTTGCTGCCTATGGCAGGGAGGGTGGAACCAGATGATCTACAAGCTTTATGATTACAAAGTCCCCTTCTAATCCAAACCATTCTCTGATTCTCTGAATGCAGATGAGTACTACAATAATAATAATTTCAAAATATTATGGTGATCATCTTCAAAAATCAACATTCAAGAGGAAAACATTCTCAGCACAATGATGGTTTGTGCAATTATAATCTCTTCTACAAGGTCATGAAATTAAAATTTATGTTAATTACAGCCCATGGCAATGATTATGCTAACAAACTGTTCCACTAATTATATTTAGGTACTTAGATTGCATTAGCCAAGAAGTTTTATGCAAAGATTTGAAAAATGCCTATATCTCATAAATAATAAAAAATATTAATGCAGATAATACATGCCTCAACCCACAATTACAGCAACATGTTTTAATTCAGTTGCTTAACACACAAGTTTAAAAACGGAATTAGAAAACATAGATACTAATCAGTTCTATGAGATCCATACTTGCTTATCTTTGAACTTTTTTTTTCTTTAAATAAGATAGGAATTCAAGAAATGAAGTGAAATATCTTCCTTTTTCGAAATGAAAGTTTTTTTTCAACAGGTATTCCAGCTCTTTGAACCTCCCTCTGATCAAACCAGTATTGTACATACTGGGTTTTTACCTTCTGCCCATGAACCAGGGGATCCAGTCTGACCCTCGGTGCTGATCTCCCCTAGTCACTTAGAGACTCTTGAGCCAGCCTTAGGCATGGCCCAGGTCCTCCACCACACACCCACTCCCGGTGGCTTGGGCCTTGAAAGTAGTCTCTTCTTTGGCCAGCTGAGTATTACACTTCCTTGTATATTTATTGAGAAAGACAAATGGAAACTCTTGCACACAGCAGTTACTGCCACAAAAATTCTTGTTCTACAGTCCTATGGGGTTCTCTTTCTCAGAACAATTCAACATCAGCGCCAAATATGGGACAATATTCGAAGGAAGCGGCGAAGGATAATATTGCCATTGACAAGCCTGAGAAATGGGCTGACAGGAACATCACCAAGTTCAAGAAGGGGAAGCCCAAAGTCCTGTTCCAGGAGAGGAACACTACCAGGCAGGCACCAGAGCATACTGGGGGCCATTCTATCTGGGCTGGAAAGCTTTTGCCAGGAAAGGCTTTGGAGGTCCTGGAGAGCACCAAGGTCACCATAAGCCAAAATATGCACTCTTCTGGGATCCTGAGCTGCATCGAGAGTGCAGCCAGCAGGCCAAGGGAGGGGATCCTTCTCCTCTGCTCAGCACTGCTGAGCACCTCTAGGGCTGGTTCCAGGCTGGGGCTCCTCAGCTCAGAAGAAAGCAGTGAAGGGCTGTGAAGATGATGATGGAGGGACTGGAACAACTCTGCCGTAAGGCAAGATGGAGGAAGATGGAACTCTTGGTCTGGAAAAGAGAAAGTTTAGGGTGATCCTATCCATGTCTATAAATACGTTAGGGGAGGGATCAAAGTAGATGGAGCCCAAACCAAACCTGCTCAGGGCCCTGAACACAAACACCAGCCTTTTTCCCTGGGAAAGAAAACTCACCAGTCCAGGTTCCTGATGTCAGTTTGTAGGGTTCCCTTGGTGTCACTGTTGAGGCAGGACGGGAATGAGAAGACTGACTCAGAAGGCTGCTGAGAGTAAAACTCCGGTTTATTTAAAATACACCGCTCTTTTATACAGAGCTTCGTGAGGAACAATTCCATTGGTCCTGAAGTGAAAACAGCCCACACCATTGGTGCAGAGTGCTTGATGCACAGTGATAGAACTTAACTATAAATAATGTGAACAACAAGAGCGATAAAGAATTATTTACATTCTTCTCCAACTCTTTCCTAGGCTTCTGCCTGGCTAGAAACTCTCCGTTTCTCTCTTTGACTGAATCTGAGACCTACAGATTTGCAGTTAGGGGTTGCAAGCAGCACTACCTGATGGCCCAGTGCAGGGGTGTAGAATTCAAATCCCCACCCAGCTGATCCACTACCGCACCTTTGGAAATGTAATATCTGTGTAACAACAACACAATAAGGCAATACCACAATATAATAACACAATAAAATAGAAAAACATTATTCTAAAGATAACATAGCTAAAGGAGCAAATGACTCATAATAAAAATTTCACGTTACAGCTTGCAATTAGTCCTTGTACAGAGGACTCAATGGCTCTGGGCCTGCGGTCACCAACATCCCGGGGCTGTGGGGACACAGGGACCTCCAGCTCCTGGAGGAAATGTGTCCTGGCCCTTGGACAATTGGCAGTCACCACTCACAGGTCATTGGAAAAGGGATAATTACCACTCCCAGCTCAGGCTGCAGACCATGGCTGACACACTCTCACCATCACATCACAGTGGGGTACTGGCTGGAAGGATCACGGCTCAGGTCAGGTCTTCAGGTAGGGACTGGGAGAGCCATTCAGGGCACAAGAGCTTCAGCAGCCTGCATAAAAGGGAAGAAAACTGAAAGATCAGGCACATTTCTGAAAAAAAAAAAAAACCCACATTTATTTCCCAAACCCTGTTTTGGGAGGTCAGAGCAGTAGGCAGAAGGTGGCACAGGTTTAGTAGATGGCACCTGCCCACAGGCAGGCAGCTGGGTGCTTTCCTGTGACTGGTTACTGCACTTTCCATTACCATTGGTTGTTTTTAAGGCAGCAGAAGATACTTTTGGGGGGTAAAATGAGACCAGCACCATGGGAATGACTCCGGTATCTCAACATTTCCTGTGGGCTCCATGCACATGACTTAGGATGGTGCAGACCAAGCTGCTCAAGTGCCCAGCTCTGCCTCCCATTTCATAGGAAGAAAGAAAAAGAGTTCAGCAGGGCTCAACCTGAAATGATATTTTGTAGCTTACGGCTCTCCTCAGAGCTCTGGTAAGAGAGGAAGGTCTCTGTCCCTGAAAGCCACGGACCCTTGGAATGCACAATGGACCTGTGTGTCACTTCAAGAGACACCAAGAAGCCCTGCCACTTTGAAAGGGCAGCTGTTGTTTCACTGCTGCATTTCTTGGCTCGACAAAGCCCCTCCGACCCGCACTACGGCCTGAGCTTGAAGATATAAAGTACCACTCTGGAGGACAGGCATGGAAAGCTTGCCAAAGGCTGAAGGCAGCACTCTGATTCCCCCTTTTCCCAAGACGTTTCTTTAGCTGAAGTTGCTGACAAGGACCAGCCTTGACACACCAAAATGGGTTTGTTGTTTATTTCTCAGGTCCTCAGTCCTGCGTGGGACTCGGTAAGTGGGTGCTGCAGAGGCTCCGGCAAGGCATCAAAAACGCCGGCCCCACACCCAATGGTGGCGCGAGATCTCCTCCAGCTCCGGCCTGTCCGCAGGGTGCTTGGCCAAACACCATCGGATCAGGTGCTGGAGCTCTGGGGAGAGAAGCCAGAAAGCGCCGGTCACCGCCAGAAGTCTCCTGCCCAGCTGCCCCCGTCACCCGCGGGGCCCGGGCCGTGCCGCGAGCGCTCTGGGCCGTGCCGGGCTCCCGACCGGCTCAGCCCCGCGCGGGAGAGCGGCACGGCGGGACGCGGCCGCCTCCTCCGGCCGCCCGTGCCGCGCTGACCCCGTCGGCACGGGCCCCTCCTGCGGCCGGCCCGTGAGGGCAGATCCACGTCCCGCGGAGCTGCGTGAGGGCCGCGCCGGGCGTGCGCCGCCACTGCCAAAGCCCGCCGGCTTGAGGCCGGACACCCACCTGGAGAGAGCTGCCGCCGGAAGAAGAGCTTCCCCAGCACGATGGCTTGGTCGTCCTGGAAGGGGAGGCTGCCGCAGACCATGACGTACAGCAGCACGCCCAGGGACCAGGTGGTCGCCGCGTGGCCGTGGTAGCAACCCAGCCAGGTCCACTCGGGCGGGCTGTACACGCGCGTTCCTAGGGGAGACAGGCGGCGCTGGCCGGGCGCAGGCTGCTGCCTTCCAGAGCCTGGCACCAGCTTCCTGACCGAGGCAGGGGCTGCGCCCGCGGCCACAGCTTCCCCCCCGAGGCCACCCCGCATCCCCCAGCCAGCTGGCCAAAGGCAGGAAACCATTCCGCAAGGCCAAGAAGGCCAGCGGAGCAGCCCAGGCCCTTGTGGGCCCGCTGAGCCCAGGGGCCGGGAGCCGCTTTTGCCGCCCCCTCTCTCGTCAGGGCCGGCAGCCGCCTCCTGGGGCACGGCATCCGCCCCGTGCCAAAGGGCAGCCGGCTGAAGGCCGCGGCCCGGGAGGGAACGGGGCCGTGCAGTGCCTGGCACCGGGAGCAGGGCCCAGGCCATGGGCTCACCGGCAAAGTCCGTGAAGGCCCGCTCCTGGAGGAAGGTGCCGCAACCGAAGTCGATGAGCTTCAGGTCGCCGCTCTCCGGGTCCACGAGGAGGTTCTCCGGCTTGATGTCCCGGTGCAGGACGCCGCAGGCGGTGCAGTGCCGCACGGCCTCCAGCACCTGGCAGAAAAGCCAGCGCGCCTGCTCCTCGCACAGGAACCCCTGGTCCTGCTCCTGCAGGAACTCCAGGAGATCCCGTGATGCCCCCGGACGCTCCAGCACCAGGATGAAGCTATCCGGCAGCTCAAACCAGTCGAGCAGCTGGATGATGTTCTGGCAGCCAGAGCCCACCTTCTCCATCAGCACCACCTCCAAGGGCACGCGGGTGCCGTCGGGCTGTGAGGAGGAGAAAATCAGTGCCTGCGGCAGGTGCTGCTGCTGCTGCTGCTGCAGGCCTGGGGCTGCGCTGCGCCCTGCCCGGGATGCCCCAGTGCCCCCTGCCGCAGCCTCCCAGGCGCTTGCGCTTCCTCCCGCCCGGGGGATGCTCGGGGCTGCCCCTGCCCGGCCCCGGCACCGCTGTTCGGCGTGCCCAGGCCCGCGGGGCTGCGGCTCCGCACGCTGAGCCCGCCCCGGGATTCTCCCTGCCCGCCACGCCCCGCTCTGTCCCGCTGGCCCCGCTCGCTCACCAGCTCGTCCCACTGCAGGACGCTCTCCCGGGCCACGCGTTTGATGGCCACCTGCGAGCCATGGGGAGAGGAGGGCTGAGCTCCAGCCCTGCCCCTCCCCGCCGCTGCCCCTCCGCCCAGGCCCGGCCGTCGCGGCCACTCACCGGGCTGCCGTCCGAGAGGCGGATGCCCGAGAAGACGGTGCTGAAGCCGCCGCTGCCCAGCTGCGGGCCCAGCAGGTACCGCTCCTGCCGCTGCCTCCTTTGCCCTGCGGCCAAGAGCGAGCCATCAGCCTTGCGCCCAGGACCCGCCCCTCCCGCAAGTGCCGCGAGTGGAGCGGGCCGGGCCCCCGCGGGCCGCCGCGCTCTCACCCGCTTCCTGCTGCGCGCCGGGCAGCGGCCACCGCCCTGCAGCCGCCGGGCTGGCGAGCGGCAGAGCCGGGCCGGGGCAGCGCGCACAGGCGGCTGCGGCAGCCCCGGGCCAGCGGGGCAGGGCGGCACCGGCGCTGTCCCCGGCGTCGTGGGCTGGGCTCTGCTCCTGCCGACGGCCGGGGCTGCAGCCCGAGGCTTGGCACGGGGGAGACCCAGGAGCGGCTGCAAAGCAGACAGGGCGTTTTCAAGCCGGGCCATCGGAGGCACTGGAAACAGCCAGCGACTGGGCTGCTCTCAGGGGCCCTGGCCTGGCCTGGCCGCGCCCCTCCAGAGCCCCGGCGGAGCCTCAGGCAGCTCCTCAGAAGATCTCACCTGCTACTAGAAAGCCCTTCGCGGCACTCGAGGGCTGTCTCGGGGCAGCTTCCTGCAGATGGAGGAACCTCTGAAGGCTCGTCTCCACCACCAGGCTCGGGCTGTTGCCAGCTGGCAGAACCGGCACAGCGTCCTGGCTGTCCTGGCCGCTGTGGGATGACCACAGCTGGCTCCAGGACACTTGCTGCCCCGCCAGCTGCTCCTGAGCAGGCTCCCCTGCATCGGGCTGGGCTCCCATTTGGACTTGTGGGCTTTCCCCTGCCATGTCAAGGGTCAGGATTGCGCCCATGTTGTTGAAGTCCGTGAGTCCAAGGGAGCTGGGAGACCTGTCCACGGGCTCTGCTCCTTCCGCAGGCTGACAGGTCTCACTGAGCCTCTGCGAGGGATGGAGGCTGTCAGAGATAGCAGAGGCTGCTGGCAGGGTGCAGGGTCTCTGACAGCCTGAGGTTCCTGCATGGATGGTGGTGGCTCCCCCCTGCTGTGCCATCCTTGCAGGCCTTGAGGCTCTCCCAGGGATGGAGAATCTCGCTGGGAGCAGCCTCTGGAAGGGATGGAGGCTTGTGGAGGAGCTGGCCGAGGCACAGCAGGGCAGGTGGCCTCGCTCCAGCAGCTCCTTCAGTTCTTTCCACAAGGCCTGCCACATCCCAGAGTAGAGGGGCGCACGTGTCCCGTTGCCATCCCAGAGCTGCAGCATCAGTTCCTGCAGCTCCCGGGCCACTGCCAGGCAGGGGCCGCAGCCGCAGGGGCTGCCCAGGGGGCTGGCGGGAGCACGTGGCTGCTCGCCAGGAGCAGCCCGAGGCCTGGGGAACCTGGGAGCCGCAGGGGCTCCTCGCTTCCTCCATGAGCCTCTGGGCCGGGCCCCGGGGCGCTTGCTCCTCTTCGCTGTCCGTGTGCTCCGGCTCCGCGGTTGCCGGTGGCCAAAGGCCCACCAGACAGCCACGGCGGCCAGCAGCAGGACAAGCGCAGTCACCAGGACGTCACCGTCACCCATGGCTCCAGCACGTCCCATCGCGACTGCACTGGCAGCTGCCGGCGCTGGCCTGTCTCACCCAGCGACAGCGCGGTGATGTCACAGTGGTGTCACAGTGCTGCGGCCAGCACAGCCCTGGGACATCACAGCCCTGCCTGACGCCAGCGCTCTGCCCTTTGTGCCATCACAGCCCTGCCTCAGCCCCGCCCTCCGCAGTGCCCCAGGAGGGGTAAGGGGGCTCCCTATGGGCACTTGCCAGCTCTCTGGAGCAGAGTGGGTGGAAGATTCTTCTTTAAGAAGGACACAGGGATGAGGAGGGGAATGCTGATGGTCTCACCTCTTTGCTGGCACAGCATGGGACATGGATTGTCCAATGTGACACTGCAACTCCTTGAGGAGGGCAAGCCCTGCTCAGTAACATCCAAGCCATCTGTGTGCTGTCTACCACATTCCCGTCCTGAATCCAAACCCAGCTCTTTGCTGCTCCCTGGGAAGGAAATGGATCCTATCCCATTGAAAACCAGTACATCAGCCCATTCTTCAGCCAGCACACCCTGTCTCTCTTTGTCTCACACCTGGACACCTGCTCCAGGTGTATTCTGCGAGGGACAGGATCAAAACTGCACTTAAAATCCTGAAATAGAACCTGCATTGCCTTCCCATCATCCATGAGACGGGTGACCTTATGTTAGGGAACCAGTGAGTGGGAGCCAGGGTGCGCTTGAGTTTCGGGAATGCCGCATCTCCTCGTCTCCTCATTTCCCAGGCAGACCCTGCCACGAGGACGTGGCCGAAGCGGCCCGAGGATCCGGGCATTCTTAGGAGAATGGTGAGTAGCAGACTTGTGGGTTTGTGGCTGCTGTGCAGCTGAGATCATGCAGTGATGTTTGGTGTTCTTGATTGTAGCTGGGCAAGGGCCACAGGTCGGTGCCTGCAGGAAATTGCCAGCAGGGGAGGCAGCCTTCCTTCGTACCTGATGTGGATTCCCTTCCCCGGACATCCTAGAGATTTTTTTAGGATTGGTGACTGATAAACACAATGTGTTTTGATGGATGGTTTTAGTTAGTGGTGCTTGTTTTGTTTTGGTTGTGGAACTATTTATCTTGGGGTTTTTTTGTGAGTATTTTAAATAAGGTTTGACACAGTGAGTAGGACTGTCATGTAGTTTATTTTTTGTGAAAACATAAGTATACCTTTAGGTTATGAAATTGACAGGACTACTTTATTGACTACTTACCAAGTCTTTTTTAGGAGTAAATTTTTGTAAGTCTGATTTTGAAATCAAAGAAGAAAAATGAGAAGACGAAGGAGGTAGAGAAGTTATCTCCTTCTAGGATAGAAAGGGTTTAACATAGAAACTGCTTTGTCTAATGTTGCGTGGGGCATTTCCGTGCGACAGCCGGGCCGCCCGCGGGGCTCGGCAGCAGGAGAGCCCCGAGCCGTGCGCGCTGAAGGTGAGGCGGCGCCGCCCGCGGGGAGCCGAGCCGAGCTGAGCCGAGCGGAGCGAGCGGCTCCGAGTTCAGCCGAGCCGAGCCGAGCTGAGCCGAGCGGAGCGAGCGGCTCCGAGTTCAGCCGAGCCGAGCCGAGCCGAGCCGAGCCGAGCTGAACGGAGCGAGTGGCTCCGAGTTCAGCCGAGCCAAGCTGAGCCGAGCCGAGCTGAACGGAGCGAGCGGCTCCGAGTTCGGCCGAGCCGAGCCGAGCCGAGCCGAGCCGAGCGGAGCGAGCGGCTCCGAGTTCAGCCGAGCCGAGCCGAAGAGGCGAATCCAGCCGATAATAGTCGAGTTTAGTCGAGTGTAGCCGAGGAGCCGAGTCTAACCGAGCCGGGCCCCGCCGAGCGCAGCATCCCGGGCAGGGCGGGGCGCCGGGGCGGGCTCGGGGTGGAGCCGGGGCTCTGTGAGGCTCCCCCTCCTGTCCCTCTCTCTGCCCCTCTTTCCTCCTCCCCGTATTCCTCTTCTTTCTCTCTTTCCCGCATTTCCCACTCTCCCCAAAGCAGCTCCGTTCCCTCCCTTTCCCGCTACCCTTCCTTCCTCTTCCCCGTATTCCTGTTCTTTGACCCCCAGACCGTCCCCTCCTCTCCCTCCCAAACCCGACCTCCCACTGCCCTCACTCCGTCCTGTCCCTGCCCCGCTACTCCGTTCTATTCCCCCTCTCTCCCTCCTCTGTCCACCGTCCCTCTTTCTTCCCTGCCGGCCTTTTCCTTCCCTTCCCGCTTTCCTCCACAGCCCGACCTCCCTCCCACCCTTCCGCATGCCCCGCTCTCCCTCCTCTCTTCCTGCCGCCCCTTCCCTTCTTTCCCCCGCAGCCGCGGGGCTCGGGGCGCGGAGAATAAAGCCCCGAGGGCCGGAGCCCGGCGCCCCCCGGCCCTTGCGGGAGTCCCCGCCCGGGGCCGGAGCTCTCGGCGGATCCCCCGCGCCGCTCGGACACCGCCCGGCGCTGCCGGACCTGCGGCTCCGCCACCATCGCGCTGAGAGCGGCCCCGCTCTGCGCCGTGCCGGCCGTGCCGCGTCCCCGCCGCCTCTGCCGCTCCCAATTTCTGCCCCTGGCCTGCGACAGCGAGGCGGGGCGGGGGCTTCACGCCTTCTGGGGGCTGCCCCCCCTTTCTTGTTGCGGCAGAGTCCCTTTCGGGGGGGATGGAGGTGTGGAAAGGGCTGGAAGGGAGTGCTGGGCTGCTGTCCAGGGCAGTTGGACTCGTTCTGTGCATTCTTTGGGGGTCAGGAAAAGGGGCTGAAGACTCGGGGCTCTGATGTCATTTGGGGCACCCCAGGGTCCCTAGGAGAGGGAGGCACACTGCGGTGGGGGAGTGGGTGGGTGGCGAATGAGGGGTGGGAGGTCACGCTGGGTGCCGTCCCGCAGAGGGACCTAAAGCTGCCCCAAAATTCCCAGGGAGGGGTGTGTGTAGAATACTAAAACCTGGCAAGTGTTTCGTTTTTATAGGTATTGGTAAAGAATAGGTATCTATGGCTAAATTCATTTGGAAAGAAGCCCTCTCTCTATCCATTCATTTGTATCCAGGAATGTAGGAAACTCAGACTGGGGATGGGCAGTAGTTTTGAAAATCATGCCCTAAGGTTTTTATCTCGTGCTGAACCAAGCAAGTGCCCTGAAACCATCGGAGCAGCTGCAGGGGCTGAAGGGAACAGGAAGGGCTCTCCGGCACCTTTTGCCTCCGTTCTCTGCCATTCTCCGTCGCAGTCCCGGAAGAGGCGTCTGTCATGCAGCCTGCCAAAATGAACACCTGTAAAATCCTAGCTCTGCCTTTTGTTTAAGGTGTTTTTACTTCATATTTATGTCATCACAGAAAGCAAGGAAAGAAGAAATGTGACTGGTTCCCACTATTGCTCCGTGCAGGCACTTTTAAAGGCTGCTGTACTTATGTTCTCTTTTTCCACTCCAAGCTTGACTTTCCCCCTCCTTTTTCGAGGTCTGCCGCTTTGGGTGTCCCAAGGAGGGCAGGGTTCCTCAGCAGGGGTCTTAGGAGTTGGTGCTGATTCTGCTTTTTCCAAAGGTGTATCGAAGTGTGCTACCAAAATGACTATTTTCTCCACGGGAAAGCTTTCTCTCAATGACAATCAATGCATGTATGTGTTTTAACCGTGTAACCAGATGGATTAAGAAAAACCAACACCCGTAGTAGATTTCTGCTTGATCTGTGTCTGTAAGAAGTGGGCTGTGTGCTGGAGAGGGAGAGACGCTGTTGGAGAGTGGCAACAGCACCAGGTGAGAGGTGGGATTTAAATCTTCCAACAACAGAAGCACTGGATGTGCAAGAGCTCAGTTTTCCACCCCTCACACAAGTCTCTTCTTTAAGATGTACTATTTTAAGCAGCCTCAGCCAGATATATTAAAATACTGCTCCAAACAACAACAGAATGAAAATGTTCCACCAAATGGGGAAAAATAAGAAAAGTCTGTCTGAAGTTCTCGTGTTGATTTTGCAAAGTCAGATGCAAACAAGGTTTGCCATCTTTCTTTCCTAGAAAAATGTAGATATTTGATAGAAATTGATCTCTGAGGCTGCTAAGTTGGGGCGAGGAGCAAAACAGGCTCCAGAGAATCTGTGGTTGTGTCACCCTTGGAAGTGTTCGAGGCCAGGTTGGATGGGGCTTGGAGCAACCTGGTCTAGGGGAAGGTGTCCTGAGTATGGTGAGTGCAGGAAAAGAAACTTTTGGTTTTCCTGAGATGCTGCCTTTGCAAGGGGAGGTCACAAATACCTCACGTAGTTTGAAATGCCCTGAGCAGAACCCAGCTGTGCTTCCTCACAGGTGATGAGGGATTTTCACTTGTATTTTATGGGGGATTTTCACAGGGCAGTGCCAGAGCAGCTGAATGTGTTTGACAGGCAAAGAGGGCCAGTGTGGCAGCAGCTTAATTCAATGGAGCTTTTCCTTCTGTGATCCTCTCTAACCTGAGGCACTCTGGGGCTCTTGAACCTGGCAGCTGGGCAAGTTAATCACTGTAGCAAGTGATAAATTAACCAGCTCCACTCTCCTTAGCATGGGTGTGATGAGCATTTAGTAAACCAGTGAGCACTTGCCAAGATGGGAGCTTGTTCTTTGCCAAGGAGGAGGGAGAAAATATTGCTTGGAGTAAATAAAGCAACCCTGCTTCCCCAGGAGGAGGAAAAGCAGCAATTAAAGATGTGAGTGCTGCAGGGAATAATTTGCACAAGGATATATCTTGTCTGCTATGTTCCAGGAATGTTCCAAATAAACCATGCCTCTCCTGACCTTTATTTTTCTGAATTTCTACCACGTGATATAAGAGACGCTTAATAAAAAAACCCAAAACACTTTGTGGTGAGGCATTTCTTCCTTTCTTCAGGCTGCCTCTTTCTTTTGTTCCCTCCAGAGCTCTCCCTACATTTCTGCTGTTGTTTGGAGCTCGTGCTTACCTCTTTCCTGATCCCCTGGGCTTGCTTTGGCTCTGGGTGTCATGGACACTCTCAATTGTGGGTTTTTTTTTTTTTCCTCCATCTACCTCTTTTTCTTCAAGTGCTTTTCCTTCATTAACCTGTTGGAGCGATGGATTTTTCTCACCTTTTATTACTTAGTGCTTTTTCTTCATTCTCTAAAACCAACTTTTCACTTGCCCTGTGGCTGTTAGATGCCAGAAATGGGAGCATTAATTCTTTCTCTACTGCTTGTCTGAGCTTTCACAGGGAGCTGAGAGCTCGTTGGGGTTCAACTTGACTCACTTCAGTGCCTTCCTGGATCCTGCCTGTGTACTTGGACACTTTAAGGGAATAAAGTCTCAGTGTGGAGATTACAGTTGTGAAATGATGGCTTTTTTGGAGAAGACAAGGATGCTGTTGTCAATCTTTTCAAGGTTGAAATCCTTTCTATTTTATCTTGGCCTTTATCTTTTTTGAGGATAAACTGAGCACCTTGTTTTGGGGAGAAACAGGCTCAGATCAGCACAGAGGTGGCTGTGACAGGTACCCAGGTTTGGAGGGAAGGGTGCAGCTCCTTGGGGTGTGTTTGTGTGGGGCTGTAAGGTTTGTGTTGGGTTCCTGGAGCATTGGGAACACCCCACTGGGAGATGCACATCAGGAAATGGATGTATAAAGGGCCTGAAGTGGGACCAGCTTTGGTGAAGGGTTCCATAGGAAAAAGTATTTTTACTGGGATTTTGGACATTTGAAGCTCCTTCTCATAGCCTTTGCCTGATGAACATTCCCCCTTTGCAAAAGCGTGGGGAATCCTGAGCTCACACAATGAAAATCCCTAATAATGATATTTTTCCCTATTATCCTATTTTTTCCCTATCCCAGCAGGAGTCAGAGTAAAAGAATATGTGTGAGTTGCCTGCCTTTGACTTTGTGACAGGAAAAATGCTATGGGGAAAGTGGTCAGAGGAGCATCACTGCTCTGCCCTTAATTTCCCTGCACAAGTGAGGATGATTTAAGAACCAAGGCACAGCCAAGACCTTTCCTCCTCCTGTGCTCATCAAGCAATCACTGCCTCATCACAGCTCAGCTTCAAACACCTCGTTTGCATCTGGCTGACCTTGGCTCCCCTCCGTGGATGGGAAGATGAAGAGGTGGAAGTGTAAA